AACGGCTGCTCCAAGTGAGAGACCAATAATGCTCCAGAAGACTACGATCAGCTAGAAAACAACGAAAATTCAGATATATAGATTTTTGAACCTACCCAAACACGGATATTAAATTTAGCATCTGCAAGAACCTTGGGATCATTAAATTGGTAAACTACATTTTTTAGATCTGTGTCGAAAGAATCATCATATCGCATCCAGAATCCAACAGCAATCAGAGCAAGGGCAGCTAACTGAAAAATGTGTTTATTAGAAATCCTAAACCAAACCTTTGAAAATCAAGGAAATCCAACTAACCAGCATTGCCAAACAAAGAAAAAACAATACGGATCTGGTGATTAACGTCCAAGCAGCCATGGTAATCCGAATAACAAATGTTCCAGACGACGTGCCAAATTTAGAAATGAGTCAGGTGATGAGTTTCGACTCTGAGCTTCGAATAAATATTGCGAAAATGAGGGGTGAGAGGGAGAGAGAGTGATATCAGAGAGATGAGTCAACAAACACTTTTTGATAAGCCAAGAATGTATTTGGAAGAAATGGAGAAGTTGAGAATACAGTTTATCAAGAAGAAAATAAAGGTTGACTTGCAAGTTAAACATCAAAAATAGAAACATGCAGAGTGAAGCAAAAATAGTCTGATAGTCAGTCCGGAAAGGTATCGAGTGTGTTGGAAATACATTGAGAAACTGTAAGGTTAAGCTCCTATGCAAGATATCAAAAAAGTGTTGACTAACAGAATACTCCTGATATTATAATGAACGATTTAGCAGTTGACAACTTTTTGATATCATTAACAGGAGCAGAGAAATATTGTCTCAAAGTTAAGTACTGATATTGTTGTGCTTCACATGAATTACTTTGCTACTACAATAACCTTCAGTTTGAACTTTATGGGAAATCAAATGATCCTAGAAAATCCCAGGCTCAACATCCTATTCCGGGAAGACTCACGATAAGAGCGTGAGCATACTACAAAGCATTAAAGTCGAAGAACTCACACCTGATAACCTCTTCTCTATCGAACATTTCGATCAACAAATGGCCTGCCAAACGAATAGACTATACAGGGTGGGGAATAATTATAGCGCCCAAACTTTGCGCAAGCTCTGGCGCCAGCAACACGGTCTGATTTGCACACCCTAGTATTTTTTTCACTTCATTTTTTTGTTTTAAACTATTTCTGAAAAATTCATGCAGTTATTTCAACTTTGAAGGTAATGGTGACCGTTTTTCCATACCACACTCCTAGTATGGAGCGCGCCAAAAAGGGGTGAGAACTTTGGAGATCGCTAAAAAACTTGGTATCAGGAAATCAGTGGTCAATCAGAAACTCGTTCGGTTCAGAGAATTGGGAACTTTCAATAATATAAGAAAAAGCGGTCATCTGATGTTTGGAACGGCTCCTGTAGTCGTCAAAGCCGTGAGAGAGAAAATCAGTAGGAATCACGAAAGAATCATGAAAAAAATGACGTCGTAGTTTAGAATGCTCCGCAAATCAATGAGAAATATTTTCCGAAAACAGCTCCATATGATTCCATATCGAACCCAAAAAGGCGCTTTCCTAACGGACCGTAACAAAGGGTTAAAACTGAAAAAATCCAAAAATCTCCTTCGAGGCACGCGCTTCGGCACGCACTTGAAGACCATTTTTTATAGATGAAGTTGTTCACTGTTCAGGCAAACAAGACTGACCAGAACAATTGAATCGGGGCTATCGATTATTATAGTGCATGTAGGAGATGAAAAACCCAGAATAAGACATCTCACCCGGTCACGGTGACCGTATTTGGTGAGATATGCTCAAATGGTAAAATTTTGTCGATTGTGGAGCCAAGATCAACAAAAATCCTACATCGAACGAATGTTGAAGTCGGAGGTGCTGCCCCAGTCCCAATCACGTCTTGTGAACGACAATTGACCATTCTATCAGTACGGAGTGCCTGCACACACTGCAAAGCTCACTCGTCAGTGGTTCCAAGCCAATTTTCCGGATTTTCTCACTAAGGATCGATGGTCAGCTTCCAGTCCGGTACTCAATCCAACGAATTTTTTGTTTTGGGAATATTGGACCCAATGAGTCTCCACAAAAAATTATCCTAATCTGGAAGCCCTGAATATATCCTTGACCGCGGCATGGGACAATTTGGACGTCAACTACCCCCGTGCCGTAGTCGACTCCTTCTTGAAGAGACTTCGAGCTGTCATCGGAACGAACGGAGGAAGGCTCAATAATTGTTAACACCATCTTTTTTGTTATCTCTTAATGAACATCTTGACCGAACTTGAGAAAAAAATCTTTTGGTTTGAGGTTTCTACACTGTCTTGAAAGCGGCGCTATATTTATTCCCCACCCTGTAGGCAATGACGGGAGAACAAATAGATACCATTTAATTGAATCATTTTTCAATTAGTCACTGCTTCGTAGAGTTTGTGACTCGAATATGTTGAACAGTGATCACAAACAGAATACGAAAGTGATTCACAAATTTTAGTATTGAAGGAAATTATATCTTTCCAGCTGATGCTAGAAGATTTTGTAATTGAAAACCTTGAGCGATTGACCCAATAAGAATAATATCCCAAGTGAGCTCATCTAAATAATACAGACAACAGGGCAGATCATCTATTGGAAAGCTCCAGAGGTATACTGCTAAAAAACTGTTAAATGGCTGCTGAAGAGGCGAAACTGGCGAAGGACTGCTAGTTGGTTGCCAAAGGAGAGCCGACGGGCCGTCGACGGACTGTTGACGGACCATGGGGCGCCCTGGAAATCACCGACTTGAAAGTTTTGATTGGAAATCAGCCAGAAAGCATTATCTTATCAGAAAATAATACAAGACTTTGATAGTCTAAAATAGCATTTTCAACTTGTAAAATCGGTTTGGAATTGTATAAATTTTCGAAAACGTTTCAAAAATTGTTTAGGTTCTCAAACCATCCAGAATATCATTATCAATTAAGCTCAGTGTTGGTTTAATGTTTCCTGAAAAAAATCTTTAAAGTTATTTTGTAGTTCTTCAAAGCTTGCATTGAAAAATTCAAAAGGCTGTGTATATTTTCTATCCACATTTTTCATATTACTCATTTGGTTGGTTTCCAAGTTTCCAATACTTTGTTCAAATGTCCAATAAAATGTTCTTCTTCCGCTGTTTTTCCTTCATGTGTAGGAGTTTGGGATGATTCATTCGAAACATTCAAAACCGGACAATAAGCATAAACAGATGAGAAAATGGCTATTTTTTCATTAGTCATTGAAACATTTCCGTCGTTTCTTGAAGGTACCTCCCACTGTTCCCAATGGAAAAGTTGTGACAGATTTCAAAAGTTGTGACAGATTTCAAAACATCATGATGCAATGACCTATTCCTATTTATCAAAAAGATATAATTTCCGTGACGCGGTTTTTCTCTCCAACTCGAAAAAGATAAAAGTAAGGTATTGTTAGTATTTTAGATAGACACCATGGGGGATAAAATCGAAAAACTGGTGAAGAAAAAGTGAGTTTCAATTGGGATTCAGACGCCTTTCAAATAGAATTTCCAGCAAACCGAAATCCAAACCGATGAAAACTCCGAAGAAAAAGAAAGATGATACGATAGAAGAAGATGAGGAGCCGAAGGAAGTTCCATCGAAGGAAGTACCGATGTCGAAGGAACCAACAACTGGTGGAGTCAGAGACTTTTTGAAGGAATCCGTGAAGAAGTTGACTAGTCGAGAGCCTAAAAATGTGAAGATGAAATCGAAGGAGAAGGACAAGGATAAAACGTCGAGAGAGAAGAAAACGTTGCCTTCGGCTGAAAAAACGGAACGGGAGACAGGCTCGACAAAGATCATTCTAGCGTGCAGAGGACTTTGTAAATATTTGTTAGATATGAAAAAATCGAGTTTGAGCACCTACTTCGACGAACGTCTCGCTAAATATGCTCCACCGAGTCAGACATTCGTGGAATGGGAAAAGAATATGTCAAAGAACCGTTCGAAAGAGTACAAAATGAACGATAGTGGTCGTGTTCACATTGATGTGGCTGGAAAGGATTCGTACATAAATGCGAGTCACATCAAATTTGATTCATCCTGTCAAGAGTATATCCTGACCCAATATCCACTGAAAGAAACGATACATGACTTTTGGAGGATGATATCGCAGAAGAGAGTTTCACGGATCATCACAATGTTCGAACCGTTCAGTGACGAGGCGATTGAAGAGTTCAACAAGATTCCAAGTACTGTATCTCCAGCACCAACGTCTACTCCAGATTCGGTTTCTACGGGTACTCCAGTGAGTGTGTCACAAAAATCTCAGACCAGAGATCAAATTATTGGTACTTCCATTCGAGTAAGTTAATTGATATAAATATAACATTTTTTGAATATTTTTTATAGTGCGAAACGACCCAAATCAAATCCTTCTTTCCTCTTTTCACCGATCACTACATGAATCTTGACAATTGGTTGATCAATACACGAAAAGTCGAGGTGGATGAAAGAAACAAACATTGGATGAACATGTATACGGTAGAAATTGTGGCAGCTGAGTGTAGTGAGGCAAACTATATTCGGGTGTTCAATTGTACGACGTGGCCATGGAAGAAGGTTCCAAATGAGGAGAAAAAACTACTAGCTCTGGCTAGAGCTCCTTATAAAGTGGGATTTCTCTTTTTTCAGAGCTGCTCATTTCTTTTATTTTCAGGATAGCGGGTCATTGATTGCGAAAGCTGACAAATCGGAACCAATAGTTGTGATGTGTGATTTGGGACTTGATCGATCTGCAACCGTCATCCTCACTTCTGTCATAATTGAACTTGTTCTTGCTGGAAAAACGCCAGATTGTGATGCTCTGTTCAAAAAGATGCGTGATCAACGATCGAACGTCTTCACAATGAGCATGTTCTTCACGTATGCCATTCGAGCGGCTCTTGTCTATTTGAGAATGAAGCTGAAATTAGTGAACGACCCAATGAGCGAAGAAGTGAAAGCTATGATCAATGAAGCTCTAGCCACGGTGCCATTCATATCGAACCCAAAGAAATAGTGTACTCGTTTTTGAATAAATTTTTTTATTCCAATAGTGATTCAGTCATAAATGAACGGTAGAAATCGATGAATACTTGTCAACATAAAAAGAAAATTTGAAAAAAAAAATCATGAATTGAGCAGCTGGCTTATTGAATCGATAGTTGCTCTCTCTAGCTTTTTTCTCTTTGTCAGCCTTGTATACTTATCTCCATCCACAAAAGCAGTAGCTTCCCCAACCAAATGACGAATATCCGAATAGCAAGCATCCCATAATGCTTTCAATTCCTCTTCGCTGACATGATATTCAGATGCTTTATCAGCTGACACAGTGCCGAACTCTCCGCTCACTAATGATTTGATACCGTAACCTTCAACTGGATGGTTTGGATGAGCTTTTGCATAGTGTGATCGAATTCTTCGAACATTCCGACACTCCGCCCCACAAATTCTGCATGGTATTTTTCTGTTGGAATGTGTGAGAGCATGGTCTAGAAGGCGGAGTTTTCCATACTTCACACGCCAATTGTACTGCAGACCACAATTCTGAAATTAATTAGATGACTAAACATTTTGTTTTAAGAAAAAAAAACTAACCGGATATTTACAAGTGATAAGGTAGGGACCGCTTGAAGGATCCGTCGAAGTATTAGCTGTCTTTTTCTTTCCTTTCTTTTCGAATGTGTCTCTGAAGGACTGTGTTTGTTGACGAATAATCTCTTCGAATAAATTAGTTTCTTGTTCTTGTGTCATCTCTGTGTCTTCTTGGAGATCTTGTTGGCCAATATCGTCCGTAATATCCCCAAACTCTTCATTTGGAATCGTCAATTCATTTGTTCCAAATTCAGAAGATGTCCCGGGAACATCAGCTGTCCAATCGTTGAGTATTCCTTGAACATCCTAGAAAAAACTTTTTGTTTTATTCGTTTCAAAACAGTGTCCTACAGGTTTAGCTTCTACTATTGAAGATGTTCCTTCAAGAGCTTCTTTTAGGTTCAGTGGATGAACATCTCCTATTTCTGCGGATATACTTTTAAATGGTGTTTTACTGAAACGGTTCGATTCTTCGAATGACAAAGAAAGAGTTTTTGATGTGGAGATCGGAGTGTTGTCATTGAAATCAATAGACTCAGCTGCAAACGATTGTGTGGGTTGCTTTGTAGCGTAAATCGGAATTTCAGAAATCCAAACATCAGTGCAACCAATAATTCTCTGAAATTTAACAATAACTTTAGGATACTACGAAACATTGGTTATATTTGGTAAATTGGTGAAAATTTGGTTAAATTCCTTATAAAGAAATCATCTTGCTTAAGTGTTCTACCATCAACAATGGACCTATTTGAATCGGTTCCTGTGAAATGTATATTTTTAAAAAAGTCAACACACAAAACTTCAGTTATAAACTATATCCAACAAAACATTATCTCGGTAAACTTTGCTTCATTTTCTCTTCTCGATTTCCGTCCGTTTTTCGGCAATATTTTAGATTTAGAAACAAAAAAGATTTTCCAACTTATTTTATGGTTTTTAACACAAAAGTGGTCGAAAAGCAAATTACAATACACGCTCTCCCACAGAACATTTCCGAACTGCAAATTAATTTTTTAAGAATCATTTGAATCATCTTGGAACTCCACAAAATCAGATAGAAAATTCTCAATTTATGGTTTTAGACCTGCAATTGTGATCGCGCCAAACGTTTTTTCTGTAGATCAAAAATTAATTTGCAGTTCGGAAATGTTCTGTGGGAGAGCGCACTTGGATTCAAGCGAGGGGGTCAGAAAAAGCGCCCCAGCAAACTCGTAGGCCAGAAGAAATTTAATAGTTGTGGAATGAACGCGGGTTTGAACTAGATCATGATGTATGTCTTAAAAATCAACGGGTTGCAACGCGCGTATTCTCGCTCATCGTTTAAAGCTGTGATACTCAGCCAACGAAGTTCAGCAGCGATTTGAGAATTTCTGAAAAATTTACTGGGGATCGCTTTCTGACCCCCTCGCTTGAACCCAAGTGAGGTTGCAATGAGAGAATAAAAAAATTCAAAGAAATTCATTGGGATACCGGGGGATAGATGAACATCGAAATGGAAAGGAATTAAGAATACAAATAAGTTAGGATAAAAAGGGACCATAGAGGTTTAATCTTCACGGAGTGGGAGGAACTTCTGGACGACAGGCTTTCCAGCTTCAGCGATAACCAAATGGATCTTGTCTCCGGTGGAAATTTCACGCTCGGCAGCTCCTCTGAACGAATCCTGCAATCAGAATATTCATCATATGGAAAAAAAAATCCTTAATGATCAACGAACCTTCATCAATGAGATAGCTCTCTCCAGAGTGAGCTGTGGACGTTCGTATCCCTCGGCAAGAGTAACGTGCCCAATTTGGCAATCCAGGAAGGGAATGATCATTGGCTCTGCAGCTCCACTTGCTGAATAGCCGAGTCGTTCAATACATCCGATTGGATCGTAACTGAAAACGGCTCCTTTTCCGTGCTCGTCAATACCAGCGAGAATTGCTCCAGTGTAGTATGGGAAGAAACGACGGTAATACAGGTTTCGGGAAAGAAGCTCTGCGCAGAGATCGACGGACATATCGGAACGATAGTCGAAACGATACTTGTGAAGCCGGGATTGGAGAACTTTTTTCAATTGAATCACATCACCATAGAAACCAGAAGTGGTGAGAATGATGGAGTCATTCCTGTAAAAAGTTTGTGGAACATGCAAGACTTAATTAAAAACTAACAAAACATGGATCTTTTCAGCATCACGGGTCAGAATGTTGATGTCATTTTGGGTCATTCTCGTGTCACTCGCCACAATAGCGAAGTTCTCTCCAGAGATGGCACATGTGGATCCTCCTTCCATTGAGTATGGGTTCCAGCGTTGACGCTCAATGTGTCTGGAGCTGAGCCATTCTGGATGAGCGGCGACGTCCTTCATAGCTTTCTTGAAATTAGCCATGTCAGTCGTGGCGTTAGCCACAGCTGTGATACCGGTGAAACTCGCCATCTGAAAATTGCATTTATTTTTAAATAGAAAATGTTAAAACTTCGAACGAAAAGGAAAAGAAACGAAAGCTTCGATTTGAACTGAATGCTGACAAAGAAAACGGCGTCAATTCGAATGTGAAGTACACACACCACTCTTGTGAATGCACACTTGCATTTAATTTGACGACATATTGCTGAATTTTTACCTGGTTTTTTAACCTTTTTTCTCTCTGAAGAAAGTCGTTATCGCAACAAATGAACTGTTTTCAGATGTCAGACTTTACGGAACAGACACTTCGGCAAAAGCTCGCCAACTTATCGAATCATAGCAACTCGATCCAAACGACATCCAGCTGGCTGTTAAAGAACCACAACAACCGAGAAATAATAATCAGAGTTTGGCTGAAAGTAAGCTGCAGGAACATAGAATTTACAGTTGGTCATTTAAAAATCTTTTCAGACCGTCAGAAAAGAGAATAAAGGTGCTAAAGTGGTAAATCTTCTTTACGTAGCCAACGATGTCGCACAGAACGCTAGAAAAGCTTGTCCACAATTCAAGGATGACTTCTTTCCTGCCATAGAAAGTGCATTCAGGTGAGGAAGACATTAACATGTTAAGATTATGAAAAACTAAGAGTTTCAGACACTGCTGCGAATTGAAAGCCAAGGAAGTGGAGAATGCCATTGGAAAACTCATACATGTTTGGAAGGAACGTCAGATTTACAGCCAATCTCAGTGCAAACGCCTTCAAGAAGCTCATCAGCAAATGAAGTTATCTGGAAGCTTCCCTTCACCAGCTGGGAGAAATAACGGAAAGGTATGATAGTATTGTCTGAAAAGTTCGCTAATGTAAAACAGTTGAAGAATTCGCAACCTAACCAGTTCATCGTCGAAGAGGCCAAAAAGAATGCTCAGGATGTTCTTGTCAGTTTAAAACGTCTTCAAAACCCTCCAAGCACCGAAAGAGACATTCGTATCCAGCTATCCAAGTATCCTGATAACATCTCGTGCCCTGAAAAGCTTCAGTCGGTTCAAAATTCTGAAGAGGCAAAAGCTCTTCTGACTCAAAACGAAGAAGCATTGCCAATGCTCGAAGATTATGTTAAAAGGTAATATTTGAAGTCATCGCTGGTGTCGAATAATTTTGTTCCAGATTGAAAGAAGAGACAAAGGAGAGGGAATCCCTCGAAACCAACCTCAATATGCTGATTCAAAATGTGAGAATGAGTATCGAACATCACGAGAAGCTTTGTAGAGATGTAAAGCGGAAGGAAGATAGAATCAAAGCAGATTTGTTGGAGGTAAGATATTGAAACTGATTTTCTCTCACATTTATTATTTTTCCAGGTTGAAAAAACATTTGAGTCTCTTCCCGATCTTACTGCCGAGATGCCAAACGCTCCATTGCCAACTCTAGAAGCACTGTTTCAAAAGAGAAAATAAATTTCAATCCCGTTTATCGTTATATCCCGATCTCTATTCATTGAAGTATTGATCTTGTAGCAATAACTAGAACCCGAATTAGGTTATGTTGTACAACTTTACACAAGACACTCCTGTCCATTCACTTGATCTTTTCATTTCCGTGTTATCCAAAATGTGCTTTATATCAGTCATCCTCAGAAAATAACTTCAATTTTTGATATTTTGATATGAAACTAATACTTTTGTTAATGCGGACCCACTCTGTACTACGGTTAGAATCCGTTGTTTTTTACTTTGGGATTGATACAGTCATAATGAAAGTTCGTAAGAACATAACATTTACAGATGGGTATTCTGGAGAAAATTGCCGAAATCGAGCATGAAATCTCAAGAACACAGAAAAACAAAGCCACTGAGTACCATCTGGGTTTGCTGAAAGCAAAACTTGCGAAGTATCGCCAACAGTTGCTTGAACCAACGGGAAAAGGAGGAGCCAAAGGAGAAGGTTTCGATGTAATGAAAAGTGGAGATGCCAGGGTGGCAATGGTAGGATTCCCGTCTGTTGGAAAATCCACACTCTTGTCGTCGATGACGTCCACACATTCGGAAGCCGCTGGATATGAGTTCACAACTCTCACATGTATTCCTGGAGTCATCTCATACAACGGAGCAAACATCCAATTACTCGATCTTCCCGGAATCATTGAAGGTGCCTCTCAAGGAAAAGGAAGAGGTCGACAAGTTATTTCGGTTGCAAAAACTTCGGACCTGATTCTTATGATGTTGGATGCTGGAAAAAGTGATCAACAGAAAATGCTGTTGGAGAGAGAATTGGAAGCAGTCGGTATTCGTCTGAACAAAAAACCACCGAATATCTATGTGAAGCAAAAGAAAGTCGGAGGTGTTAAATTTACAAATACAGTTCCATTGACACATTGCAACGAAAAGCTTATTATGCATGTCTTGCACGAGTACAAGATTTTCAACGCTGATGTTATTTTCCGAGAGGATTGCACGTGAGATGAGAATCGTTTTTAGCTTTCCAACCGATTATTTTCAGCATTGACGAGTTCATCGACGTTGTCCAAGGCAACCGTGTTTACATGACTTGCCTATATGTCTACAATAAGATCGATCAGATTTCGATTGAGGAGATCGATCGATTAGCCAGAATGCCTCACCACGTTGTCATCTCGTGTGAAATGAACCTGAATATGGACTACCTGTTAGAAAAGATTTGGGAATATCTCGCATTGGTCCGAGTGTACACTAAAAAACCAGGAAATGCTCCTGATCTTGGTAAGTTATCACTGTTATGTATGCCTATTTTATTATACATGAAATTTCTAGGACCCGAAGATGGTATTATTCTCCGTGGAGGAGCTACTATTGAACATTGTTGCCACGCTCTCCATCGGTCTATTGCCTCTCAACTTCGATATGCTATCGTGTGGGGAACTTCGACAAAATTCTCACCTCAGCGCGTCGGTCTAACTCACAAACTTGACCACGAAGACGTTGTTCAGATTGTGAAAAAATAAGTAGTTGTTCACCAAAAGAATAAATATCACTTTCATAATTATCTATGTTTCCTGTTGCTTTTCATTTGTTTCGATTACTATAAATCTATTCATTGTTTCATAATTGTTATAACAAGTACTTTGGAAAGTGTAACTTACTCACTGATCATGCCTTTTTTCACCGATTCCTCAATGTAAGGAGGGTTATCCAGATGCTAAGGATAGTCTGTCTCATTTCACTATTCATGGTATCAGATGGGGTTAGTAAAGAAGATTTCCGGATAGACTTCGAGGTTTGATTCCCGTTTTAGACAGGAAAACCATTTTGAATTCAGTACCCTAAAGAAAAACCCGAGGCATGCATCGATTCATTGAAAGATGAGGACCCGTCAGACTTTCACTACACTTCCACCAACCCATTAGGTCCCGTCGTTGAATGTCATCTGCTTGATCCCTCATTCATTCTCTGTGAAGATCCAGTTCCTCTGTACGGACCAGGACAAACAGGACAACAACCATCAAACGACAGTTATCACAATGAGGGAAAGTGTCTAAGAATGGGTGGATATCGAGCAGAACACATCGAATTCACCAATGTGAAGTGTCGTGTGTTACCATGTATTGAGTGTCGAGGATCAAGATCTTTCTCCAAATTAACCCCTTGTATAATGTAAGTTCCAAAAAATCCAAAATTAGTACGAATTAATGATATGGTTTTGCAGATATACTGGCCACTATTTCCTGACCACACTCCTCTATTCCATTTTCCTTGGAGTCGTCGCTGTTGATCGGTTCTGCCTAGGATATTCAGCAATGGCAGTTGGAAAACTGATGACGTTAGGAGGATTCGGAATCTGGTGGATAGTCGATATTTTTCTCCTAGTACTCGGCGTACTAGGACCAGCTGATGACTCAAACTGGGAGCCATATTACTAACAAGACAAAGAAGTAGTGAACAAGTGTAAATAACAGTTTTATTTTGTTAAAAATTTCACACAAAATTAGTTTTTTTTCTTTCGATCTCAGCTATTGTTTCAACCTTCTTCTTCTTGTCGCTTTATCCTGTTCATGACAGTTTTGTGCTGATTGTCACCTGGAATTTTTTTGATTTTGGCTGATTTTCTATAAATTATTAAGTCCGTACCTTGATTTTCGAAAGATCTCTACCATCGATAATTTCACTAAAAATGCGACTCATCATTTGAGCCAATTTGTCCGGACGTTCATCGATACTGGGGCCACTTGGGGAACTGCTGGTTTGATCTTTTTGATGGTTTCCACAGTTTCTTTCGAACGATACGGACCACTGAACACTGATACCTTGTTCTGAAATCAGGAAAGAAAATTGAAAAAAAAACAGATTTTTCTGGTGTTTACCGGTGCATTCTTAACATTAAGAAGTTCAGCGGAAAATGGTTCATCACTCGCATCCCACTCTCCTTCACTACATTCTGGCAGTTTTTCGCCCTTCTCTGAAAAATGAATTGTTGTAAAAATACGTTCTAAAAATCAAAACCATCGTCAGTAATTTCAATTTTCGGAAGTTGTCGAATGGATTGTTGAATAATTGGCATCGGAAGTTTTTCCTCTGTTTCGTCAGATGTTTTCTTCTCAATTCTCTTTTCGTTTTCTTCAGTTGGCTGCTTCTCCGACATTTTGAACTGGTTAATGATCGATTTATTGTGTTAATTTATTTTTCCTTTCTAATTTTTTTGTATGATTTTTGTATAACAAAAAGCGTGGATCAGGGGAATTTATTTCCAAAGAAATAAGATGGACACCAATAAAGAAGACACTTCGGCTAAATCTGAAAGTTCAAAAAATGGTTCAGAAGCTTATTAAAATTAATTTCTATTTAAATCTATTTTTAGTGACAAGTACAACGGGAGAAGCACTTCAAAACTGTACAGAATCAGAATGGGATGCATCAGATGAACCGTATTCTGCAGAGTTGCTCAATGTGAAAAAGAAACCAGTCGGTTTATTTTCAATGTTCAATTTTCGGAAATTCATAAAATTTAGAATCGGGTCAACGTTTTCTCAGCCACTGAGAAAAATCTGGAAACCGTTGTTGTCACTGAAGAATCTCCACCCCAAACTCCACTTCCTCCGAGTTGGTGCACCTATTTTTGAGTCTGATTTTATTTTATTTTTCCAGAACCAGTTGTTGAACATCATAATCTTGCTCGTCTGATTCAAAAGTCTTGTGAGCTACTTCTAGAAAATACGACGGCGGATGAAACTGAAGTGCATGTCAAATTGGAGTTCCCGGATTGGAGAGATTCCTAATTTTTTGATTTAAAATAAAATATTATAAAATATTTTTCTTCATTGTTTCTTTTTCAAAAAAGTTTTGAATTTAATAACTCAAATTGTTATGCATAATGTGTATATGGTGTCTTTCTACTTATGATACTTCATACACTTACCGAAGTGAATGAAGTTTCGAGATCCAGTTTTTCGGAATTTTCCATTTCCTATTTTGTACTTTCCGAAAGTATAAAATTCCGAATTCACTAGTTTTCGAAATTCCAAATTTTCGATGAACTGGAAACGAGAATTTAAGAATTTCTGAACTTTCAAACTTCGAATTTACCAAATGTCTACCAAATTTACAATTTTGCGCTGACTTTCCTGAAAATTTCGATATAATTTTCAATTAGAAAATGTCTTCAGTTACTCGAAACAACAAAAAAGTCGAGTGGGGAACGGAGAGGAGGGGGAGGACTTATATTTTGAAAGGAGTCTAAAAAATAAACGACTGCAAGACTCTGTGATTCTATTTAGTTTTTTCTCCCCATCCCAAATTCTCCAGAAATGTTCTTTTTTCCTACGAGAACCCTCAATAATTCTAACCAGCATAATCGTTGAGTGATCATATGATTCTATATATCATCCTTCCAAAAAAGGGCATTCAGAGTTGCTCTTTTTGTCTGACGATTGTCCACTTGTTCCTAGTTGGTTTCTCGTGCATTCCAAAGTGTGCGTCTTCCTCTTATTCTCCATTTCTGTCTTGTCTCCCGGCTCCATTTTTCTCTCTTTTCAAACACCACTCCTCGTCCCATTTTTCCTTTCTTTCTGCGCTCCTCAAAAAGAAGGCCTTCTACATTTCCCATTTTCTACAACCATCTGTGCTTCTGCTTCGTGGTACCAAGAGCACTCATCTAATTCTTTTCTTCCACTTTACTCATTTTTCCGATCCAACTAGAAATGGTGAAACTCTCCGAGTCGGCTGTCTATATTCGTACAAAAAGTTCTCTGGAAAATGTGAAGAAGCTCAATTTATGGTATAATATTTTTCAAATAAAAAAAATACAACTTCAGTTGTTTCAGGGGATGCGGTATCGATGACATTCAAGTATGCGAGAAAATGGGTCTTTTAGAAATTCTATCCCTCAGGTTAGAGATCAATTTTAATGATACAAAAGTGGGGTTATTTTTTGCAGTGTCAATGAAGTAAAATCTCTTTCTCCACTTCAAAACTGCAAGAATTTGAAAGAATTGTATCTTCGAAAAAACTGTATAGAATCGCTAGATGAGCTGGAATATCTGAAGGATCTTCCAAGTTTAAGAACTCTTTGGATTGATGAGAATCCGTGTGTTGGGGAAGGGGGTCAAGAATATCGAAGAAAAGTTATCAGGATTCTTCCTAACATCACGAAACTTGATGATAAACGTAGGTCACAACTGAACTTTTCTTCCATATAATCTTCATTTTCTCAGCTGTCACCCAATCAGATCATCAAGAAGCAATGGAGGATAGTATTCCCGAATGTGATATGCATAGTTCTGTTTACGGAGCTCGTTCCAATCGGTCTAATAGTACTGATTTGATGAGTAGATCAGTTTATGGTAATTCAATTATTTCGTTTTCTAAAACAACAGATTTTTTTCAGTCGGTCCAGCAGTAGTTGACAGAATCGTTCAACCACAGCTTCTCAATTTCGGAGACACTTCTGATGAAGAACGAATCAACTATCAACCACGTTCATTTTCTGTAGAAGTACCAGGAATGCCATTGACTGATGAGCATACAAATGTCTATTTGGACAGTGCCCCAAACTCGCATCGTGGATCGAGACACAACTTGATGTCTCAATCCATGTATGGAACTTTGTGTGGAACACTTGCAGAGGAACCAAGTTCAGCATATGGAGAAGATGATTGGAATGATTTCAGGTAAGGAAGGAATAAGAAAGAAAAAGGGAAAGGAAAAAAAAATTAAAAATTCAATTTAATTCAGTATCGAAGAAGATCGTGCGATGGTTTCGATGCCTCTGGCTGCTTCACACAGAATGTATCAAAGTATGCACGAGGGAATGGTTGTGGAAATGAAACGACCGGTGAGTGTATAACAGGCTCCGCGTCACTTCGAAACTGCGACACTTCGAAACCAGTTATTTCTAAACCCGTCATTTCGTAACAGACGAATGGACGAATTTCAGACTACAAAAACGAGTTTAGGGTCTTGAAATATGATTTTTCTGATCAGCACACATTCTGAAATTCGAAAAACTCGAAATAAAATTTTGAAAGAAAAAATAAATTTTGGA